TTCGAGACAGGGTTTCTCTGTTTAGCCCGGGCTGTCCTGGAACTCACTGTGTAGACCAGGCTGGCCTCGAACTCAGAAATCCGCCTGCCTCTGCCTCCCAAGTGCTGGGATTAAAGGTGTACGCCACCACTGCCTGGCTCCAGGGTAGATTTTAAGGAGACTTTCATGGTTGGACCCTGCCAACTTTTCATTCTTTCCAAACAATTCTTTGATTCCTAGGATTTTGTACCTTTTTGTTTTCTCTCTGGAGTATGCACCTGGGTGACTTCCCTGCACCGCTGTCCCCACAGGCAGCCCTGTCTTTTAGCCAGTTGCTTTTCCCCTTGGGCACAGCAGACCCCTCTTCCCGAATGGGGTTGGGCATCCCTTTCTCTGTGCTTACACTGCCCTGTGATGCACATTACATTCTACTCTGGAAGTTTTCCTGTTGCACAATGCATCAGCACCACCTGGGAGCTTCAGTGCAAAGCCCAGCCCCTATCTCAAACTGAAGCATTCCATTTGAGGGTGGACCCGGCCATAGGAAGGAAATAAAGCCCAGCCACCTGGTTGGTTCTAAAGCTCCACGAAAATCCACAACCAGTGCAGTTGTGTTTACCTGTGTTCTTTGCTGCCTCCAGATTTACATATGAGCCCACGAGAGCAGGCGCAGGTCATGTCTGCCTTAGACATTGTATATCCAGTTCTTAGCCTGGTGCCTGGCTGGCGGCAAAAGCTCAGGTATTCCCTGAAAGAATGAAGGTTACGGGCCTAGAGGACTTAGGAATGTGACTGCTGGGAGATCCAGTTAGAGCAACCATACCTGCTTTTCCAGGAACTTTCTCCTAAAGCTAAGGAGCCGTAGGATCTAGGAGGGGCAGGTACCTGACAGTAGAAGGGGGAAATAACCTTTTTCTCTTCCTCTCCTCTGCTATTGTCCTGATGGCTGCAGAAAAAGAAAGACCTACCTTAGGGAACTTGGAGATCTAGTTGGTTAACTGAGCTGTTGGATTGCCACAGCACGAGGCAAACCCATGATGTGACCTTTTGTTTTTTTTCTCCTAGGTCAGCTGAGGGAACAGCTCAGTTACCTTAAGGGCGATAACTTTTTCAGGTTTACTTGTTCCGATTGCTCGCCAGATGGCAAGGAGCAGTACGAGAGGCTGAAGCTGACATGGCAGCAAGTGAGTACAAACCTCTTCTCTAGACGTCCAGTCGGGTGGCCCGAGACACTGGGGTGATTATCCACTTAGGAGTGGTGTGGGAGTGCGGTGCTTTACAATGGGCATAGAATGTGTGGATAGAGTACTTCCTGGTTTTAAAAAAAATGCTGCTAATTTAGTGAGTTCTTGAGAATCTTAATCAATTTCATTTATGTCCTACCGAGCTAAGACTCAGCTGAAAATCAGGCCCACATTTTTTCTGGCAGTCATTTTGAGCTTAACAAAGCCAGAGGCGGCTACACTGAAAGTAGATTTGGCAGAAGCAGTTTGACTTGATAACAGAGACAGTGTAACCAACTGGGGTAACCTTCCTGTACTGGAACCTGGAGACAAGTCTTTGTTGATGGATAGTTTTAGCTGTCTCAAAGATCAGCACTCCAGACAGTAACTTTTTATTGATCTTCAGGTTATATTAAGTTGTTTGGTTTTATTTACACGTGTGTGTGTGTGTGTGTAAAATGTGACAAGGTTAAGTTAAAAATAAAGAATTTCATATTAATTACTGGTTTTGTTGGTGTTTGTAATGCTGGGGTCAAACTCATGGCCTTGCTTAGGTTAAGTGCTGGATCTGTGAACTGTATTCCAGACCCCATGGTGTCTTGCTTCTTAGTTTATGTTTATTTGTACGACATATAAAGAAAGCCTACAAGGAACCAGGCACTATTTGAGTCTTGGAGAGTGCTGTGGTGAGCCAGCTGAAGCCTCCACCCCTAACCCTTAGGGGACCATTAACACTCTGCACTCAGATAGCTGGGATAATTGCCTAGCACTCTTTCCTTTGAAAACAGTAAATAGAAAGAGGGAGGATTTTAAATGTGCTGTGTTGGCCACTCCAATGTTTCATGTAGATGGTTGTTGCCATTATGTCTGAACAGTTGTCATTGTCACCAATACTTTATTATCTATCACCCAGCAGACCTGTCCACTAGCTTGGGGGGCTGCTCTGACTTGCCAAACATTCACAGGTAGAGGATAAAGGAACTTTGACTTGAGTGTATAGTCTTGTGGGGGTTACAGTTGGGCTTCCCCCTCCTGTTGAAGGCATACTATATGTAAGCTAGGTGTATTACTATAAAGAGAATTGCAGATAGGTGGTCTTGTATTTAGCCTGTAGGTAGCTTCTCATAAGCACTGTAAAATGGAGGAAAGAAAGTATATGTGGTCATTTTTAAGAATGTCAGTTTTCTATGGGAATATCTTCTGTAGATGTTTTTAAAAGAAAAGTTGGTTCTTGGTTATATTCCTTAGAATATGTGCTGTAGGCCCCATTTATGTACTTAGTCAGGTTAGCTGTGACTGAGAAAACTTGTTTGCATTTCTAGAAGATATATTAGTTGTGGATAATAACCTGAAAGGAAAAAAGTGGTGACTAAATAATACATGTTTTTTTTTTTTTTTTTTTTTTTTTTTAGTTTTTCGAGACAGGGTTTCTCTGTGTAGCCCTGGCTGTCCTGGAACTCACTGTGTAGACCAGGCTGGCCTCGAACTCAGAAATCCACCTGCCTCTGCCTCCCAAGTGCTGGGATTAAAGGCGTGTGCCACCACCGCCCGGTGCTTTCAGCTTTTTAAATCTCTAACTTTGTTAATTTAAATAAAGAGAGATGCTTGCTTGCAACATACAGCATTTTCTTCGCATTACAAAATTCAAAGTCAAGATCTGCTCTTTGGACCGAAGACTCCTTCCCTTCACATGCCTCTGTGTCTTCTCTTCCTCCTCGTGACTCATGACTTCCAGCACAGAAGGAACTTTTCGAGATACCTTGGGGGTTAGAGACTTCTGCACATTCTTGTCCTGGAACTTCATTCTTCTGATGTGGGCGAAGCATTCGTTGCCTGTGTTTCTCTTTCTGGGTCCTACAACAGGCAGCTCCTGAGTGTTCGTCTGCTGTGTCTCCAGTTCAGACAGCCCTGAG